GGCTATGTTACTAAAGATCTGAGCCAGGAGGGCAGGAACATCACAATCTGATGGTCTTGAAGGGTTTCAGCATGCAGAGTCACCCAGGGAATCTGAGGTCATAGTGAGTTCTGGGGCTAAACTGCTTGGATAGCAGTCCACTCTTGACCATGCAAAATTTCCTCCACACCGAGGACATCAGTATGCTCATCATAAAGGAGAACTCCTACCTTGACCCTATCACGGTTCAAAAGAGGATTAAATGGAGCCTTAATCACACCTAACATCATGGAGCTTATATCACAAATCTGTCACTGTGTTTAGACTCCCAGGCCTGAGAAAGCTCATACTGGTGGGGGTCAGGAAAGCACTCAGTTAAGTTGGTCTGGTATCCCTGAAGCCTTGTACCCTGCCCCATCGGCATTCTTGACTCTGCACTGGCCGCCTCTCCTTCCTCTCAGTGTATCATGTCACATCTACGCAGGTCAGTTAAGTCTTGTATTTGAGCTCCACGCTCACTCTAAAGCATTTCTCTCTTGTCTCCACAAATGGCCCAAGAGCAGGCCCAGGCCCCAGGAACATTGGGTGTGTGTCCTGCCTTCCTAAGGAACTACTAATCAGCTGGTTCAGTAGTTTTGTTGGGATGTGTGATCCTGGGCCTAGGAGCATGGACTGTGCCGTCCTCTGTCCTGAGCAGAGGAAGAGACAGAGCCCTGCCACCCTGCAACCCCAGCTGTGCCTTCCTGCCCACAAATCCTCCAGTGCCTCTCAGAAGCCAGGAGACAGTCCAAGTGCTTTCTGCCTATTTCCCAGCTCTTGCCTTAGTCCCATCATCCCTGAGGGTTCAGAGGACTCAGATCCATCCTCTTCTCATTCTCCTTTCCAGGATGGAGTCCATGACCCTGATGAGAGGAGGCCTGGAAATATTACTTCATGCTGCCTGTCCTGGAATAGGGACAAGCAACATTCTCATCTCTATGACTGGCAGTGCCAAATCTTAGCCTTCTGTATTTGGGTGTCAACTGCTCTACAGGGAATCTGGCCATGACACTTGATGCTGCCCTCAGCTTCCCTGTCCAATGTTTTCAAGTGTCTCCGAGCCTCTGCATTTCAAACACAGCCCTCCTTCTCATTTCCCTGCTGAAGTATCAAAGTCAGGTCAATGTTACCAGCAGAGTGGGCTAAGGAGTTGAGAGGACATGGAGAGCTTTCAATTCATATATATGCTGGGTCCTGTCAGATATAGTGAAGGAACTACTGTATGTTGCATTTGTCCAGCATCTTGTTCTGTGGCCAGTGTCCCCGAGCTCTGGCCAACACTCCCCACCCCAGACAGGCTGTTCTATCTCCAAAAGGTATCTGAGAAGATTGAAGCTGATAGATGGCAACACCTAGCCTTGCTCCACAAGTTGTATCTCCAGGAACATCCTGGAAAGCCATCTAGAAGCTGGCTAGGAGGGCCCGTTAGAGACCCACCAAACCCTCTTGTACCTCCTCCCTGTGTTGAAGCAGCTCACCTAGAGAGGAAACTCTCCATGACACTGTTTGCATGCAGTCTGTCCTCCTTGGAAAGGATGTCTTTGGAGTATGAGTGTCTAAGGACCTGGCCAGCATTGTCTCTGTGGTTGGATTGGCCTCCCTTCCACTGGCCCTGCAGGCACAAAATTCCAAGCACAGATCTATAGCTCAGCCTAGTCTGCAGGGTGCCAAACCCATGCCTACCTGCTTTGCTGTTTGTGTACTAGGATACCCTCAGAGAACTAAGTAGTTTGGCATTTCCCAGGAGAGGCAGGATGCCTCTGCACTGAACTCTCAGCAGAAGTGAGTGCTGCTTGGAGAGCAACATCATAAGGCCTGGAGAACGAGGTTGTGAGGCCAACCTAGTTGGTCTGTGGTGGAGCAGTTCTGAGGACACAGCTCCCATGAGGGATTTGCAAGACTCATGCCTCCAGCTAGAGGTGGAAAGGGGCCCAGCCATTGTGGGTGGCTGACTCTTCAGCTCTTGTAAATGACTGTTCACACAAGTGTCTCAGTCTTCTGTCTAGATGAGCCTGAATCTCCTCTCTTTTCAGTAGTCTTCTACAACTGGCTGCTGTTTGGTGACTAGAGATGGTAGCCACCAGCCAACTTGGAGGCCTTCGATCTGAGGCCAGAAATATGATAAACCTGCCATCCTAGCTCCTGGAGAAGGTCTGGATCTGTAGTGGTTGACTGATTATGCCAACTGGAGAAGTTTAGAAGCATAACTAAACTTGGCTCAGCAATTGGCTCAGCAATTCCACACCCTAGGGTATAGAGGAACCACTCTAGGGTGGATCATCACCTAGATAATATAAAAGGGAAATGAGGAAGGACAGAGGAACTTCCATTCCTTTTGAAGGAGCTCCAGTCTTCACCTTCAGCTTGGACTTAGTCTCCTGGCTTCTAGTGCAGACTCTTTGGCTTCCACCTTGGATCCTTCAGCCTTCCGTCGCAGACTCATCGGCCTCCTGGTACGGACTTGTGCAGAACTCTGCAGTGAACTCCAGACCCTGGACTGATTCCTTCGGTCTTCAGTGTGCAGACACCCTCTGCACACTTCGCCATACAATTCTCTGGCTGACCATCGTAAGCCAATCTTGTAATTTCTTATAATTTATACATCCTGTGTTATATCAGTTTCTCCAGTAAAACCCTGACTGATACAGGATCTAAGGGAAGCAACTCAATCCACCAGGGCTGGAGCTCACATCAGAGAAACCAAGGTGCTCAGGCCTTCAGGCAGAAGTGGACTAAGTTGCCCACAACTCCAGCCTTCAAGAGACTCAGTGATAGAGGAGTACGGTGGTCTTTCACACAGTTGACCTCTCCAAGGCAGGGATTCTTAAGCTTCTTGTGACCAGGTGGCATGTGAGCATTTGTTGCCAACTATAGGTTCTTCCCATTATAAGGCCTATGAGTGGTTACATTTTGAATTTGAACTTCTACTTCAAAACTGTTTAAGTAGGGAAATGTATCTAAGAGGGTAGTTATCTGTCATGCTCAATTTAGGGAAACGGGGAAAGGAGAAATTTAGGTGTTGGTGTCAAACAGGAACTCGAATAGAATCCATCAGGAATATTCCTGAGGCTCCAGCCTCACTATAGCCAAAACAGTCAAGCACGTTTAGCCCCTCCAGGGTGAAGGCACCAGTTCCAAAGTTCCCCATATGCTTTGGGGATTCCATTGGCTCCCATGTGTCAATCTGGAACTGATGGTAAAGCAGCCCCAGAAGAACACAGGAATGCCTCTGCCTCCTAGGAAATGGAGTTATGAAGAACTCCAGTACTGCCTCAGAGCTCCCACAGGTTGAGGTATGAACCCAAATTTTGAGACCTGAGGTTGTTTCTGCCCAAATAAAAGAATGAGAACAGAGAAAAGAGTTACCCCAAGGGAGTCTGAGCCTGCCCATCCATGGGGCTGACAGGGCAGCAACAGCTCTGAGCAGGGGCTTTTTCCACACCACTATCCTTGATTACAAGGGCATTAAGAAGAGCATCACCATGTCCCAGAAAAGGGCCAGGCCAAGCTGAAGCCTACCTTTAAGGACAGAAGCTCCACCACAGCTGGTGAGACTGGGCTGGACTGGGCTGGGACAAGGTCAGGCTGGCCATTCTGTTCTGGGAGCTAGGAACCAACCTGGACCCCCAGCAAGGTGGCCATAGGAGGGCTGGGGTGCCCCACCCTGATGCTTCCTTATCCCAAATATTCACCCCCAGGACACTCTAGTCAGCTGAGTGGCGGGGCAGCAGCCATCCTGCTAGCCTGGAGGTCCAAGGCACAAGAGTTGGGCCTCCCCATCCTGAGGTCCTATGCAGTGGCTGGGGTCTCACCTGACATCATGGGCAGTGGACCTGCCTATCCCATCACAGTTTTGCAAAGTGCAGGTAAGATGGCTTCATCGTTTTTTAGACCTGGATCCCCTTCCTGCCTTGCACATGAAGTTTGGGAAAGCACCGGGGGTGGCCCTGTGGGTGTTATAAATTAAGGTTGGGGCAGGCCAGCACTCCATTCCCAAGGCCTCCATGACCCCCACAGCTGGAATATAGTTGCCCTTCCACAGCAGACAGACACACTGGGCACCAATAGGTCTTTCCATGGGTCAGAGCTCAGGCAGACCCACAGTCATGCCCAGGGGCTACTGTCAGCTCAGGTCCATACTTTGCCCACAGAGCTGAGAGTTAATGAGATGGACATCTTTGAGATCATGAGGCCTTTGCAAGTCAGGTTTGACTCTTCCCTCACCCAGGCCTTGGCAAACCAGAGCTAGCTACTAGGCAAGTGGTGCAAGAGGCTGGACAGAGGCTCCAGCTGCTGCTCTGACTTCTTCTTGACCACCTACTGCATGCAGAAGCTGGATATGTCTCCTGAGAAGCTGAGTCCTTTAGGGTGGCTCTGTGGCTCTGGGTTTCACACAGGCACAACGGTCATCATGCTACTCACACAGTCATAGGAAGAGGTACGTCTACACCCTATGGTGTGTTGGCTATCATGGGAGATGCCCAAGCCTGGATCTGGGCAGTTCAAGGTTGGGGAAGTGAACACCGGCACACAGATATTGAACAATAGGAGTGGGATCTGTGTCTTCCCTGGGGTTCAGCCTGAGGAGTAACTTTGGCTGCAAAAGGAATCTGCCACCTCAAGTGGTTGCCTAAACGGACACTTGGGGGAACCATTTTCCCACAGCCCTGGTCAGCTGGTTTTATATCCTCTGTGACCAGGAGGGTCTTGGTCCATGACAGCAGCCTTGGCAGGGGAGTGGTGGTTGAGCCTGTGCCCAGTATACCCCTCTCAAGCTACTGCAGTATCATTTCCACAGGGCATATGGAGGGGTGTCCATGTGCCTCAGGACTGACATAGGAGCCACCGTCCCCTCTGAGTACCCTGGGAGCTGAGGCTCTGGCCCAGGAGCTATGTAGACAATCATGCTCTGGTTGCCAGAGAGAAACACTAAACAAGGAAATTCACATGGCACATTCGGCAAATCAAGGCACTTCAAGCAATTTGGAAAATGTGAGCACTGATAATACCATGCAGGAGTGAGTGGGGATGTTGTGCCACTTCTGTCAGGGACCCTCCCTAGGACAAAGTCAGCACGGGTTACCCACGCCACAGTCAGTCTTGTAACTCTTGGAGGAGGGTGGTTTTGTGGATGAGGGATACAATGGACGGAGTAAATGTCTGTGATCTCATCTTGGTGGTGTGCTTCTTTTCCAAGGTCCAGATCTTGCCTCATTGGTCTTCTCTGTGCTCTGAGTAGCAATTCTTAACTTCCATGCTCTCTAGGGTGGCGTGGGCTCTCCTCTGTGTTAAATCTGGGGACACATACTTCAGGCTTGAGCTGACACCATTGCCCCAGAGATGGCTCCTCCCTCCCAGGAGCTGTCCAGAGCCCCCCGCCCCCAGTCTGTGCTGTGACCCAGCAGACCTCTCCTCAGCCCTGAGCCATGTTTATTCTTTCACCTGGGGCTGAGGCTGTGCAGTGAGCACAGTCTTAGGATTGGTGAGATGCCATATATCTCTCATCGTAGGAGCCTTGGCCCCGCAGTCTGAGGGTGCAGGTCTTCTCGCCGAGCACGCCTTCCACCACCACTGTGGACTCGTACAGCTCAGTGCTCCTGGGACAGCAGGGAGGCCAAGGTCAGGAGTGCCCTGGGCAGGGGCCCCTGGCCTTTGGTCAGTGAAATGGAGTCCAGGAGAGGCTGTACCTGGGAGTGAAGAACACGTGCAAGGTGATGGAGGTTGGGGGGGCGTTGGTGGCTCGGGCTTCCAGCAGCCCACTGCTTGGGGAGACCCCAAAGGCTTTCGCCTTCTTGTCCGGCTCCTGCTGTCCTGCATTGAGGGGAAAGGAGGACATACACAGGCTCCTTGTGCTGTCGTGGAAGATGCCATGTGTCCCCAGGCCTGCCCTGCTTCTCAGGTGTCCCCTTGGTCTTGCCAGCACCACAGGGCAGGGAAACCCAGGTACCACTTGGCATGGGGGACTGGCCATCTCTGCAGGCATGACAGGTAATGCCAGCCCTTAGGCACTGCAGGGAGAGGACACATTACCCTCTTCCTGGGAGGACTGGCCCAGCCTCCATGATGCAGCGAGCGGCCAGGTAGGAGGGACAACATACCCATCAGCACGGCCCAGTAGCTCTGGCAGCCACTCAGGTTCAGTAGGTTGATCTCCTGGGCCCGCCGCTGGTTCACAAAGCAGGTGCCGAAGTCCACCCAGCTGGTGGACAGCTGCAGCTCAGGCACAGCCACAACGGCCCTCAAGGGCACCACCTGGGGGACAGAGCCTCTGACTTGGCAGGGATGGAGGGACGCTGCCCACTGTGGTGAGGCTCCTAGCTGGGACACAGGGAATCTTGCCAGCCCCAAGGACCCATGGCAGTAATCTGAACAAGGGTAATCACAGCAAGGCAGGAGGCAGGAGGCAGGAGGCAGGAGGCAGGAGGCTCACACTGCCATCAACAGTCAGAGCATGACAGGCCAGAAGGCCAGCCTCCCTGCTGTGGAGCTCATCTCTCCTGTAGGTCACCCTCCCTCGATCTGCATCCTTCTTCCCTCCCTCCTCCTCCCTCCCATGGAGCCCAAGACCCAGCCACTGTGATGCACAGCCTCTCTCCCCAGCCCCAGGAGCTGCTGGGGCTCAGGCCCGAAGTGCCCTGCCTCCCTCGCTCTGTCTCTGGAATCTCTCCCAGGACGGTCCTTCACACCCCACACCTGCAGTGCCAGCTGGGCTTCGGCCTCCCTCAGCTGCATAGCACTTCCCATGACTTTGTGGCCTGCAGAGTTCACCCTGGTGCTCACAGCTGCCTCAGGCACCCCTGTCCCCACCCCCAGGCCATTCCCTCAGCCTGGGTCTGTTGAAGTGTTTTCCCTTCTCCCTTGATTATTCAGTCCTCAGGTTTCGCCTGTCACCTCCTCCAAGGAGCCTTCCTAGATTTTCTGCCCTCCAGCTCCTCGCTTTTCTCTGAGACACGTAAGGATAGATGATCCTCCTCCCTCAACGCACTGGGCCTCTTCCGGGCAGACTGCTCCCTGAGGGCAGAAGTCAGGCTCCTCGCTTTGCTATCTTCCTCTCATCCCCAGCACAGCAGAGCCCACTGGGGTCCTCGGGCCAGCCTAGCACTTGCCTGAGTGGTCTGGTTCGTGAACTCCAGGAGCAGATCCTGAGTGAACACCATCTCCTTCTCTCCACTCGAGCTCTGCTGAATGTCCACTCTGGGCAGCATCTGGTCAGCTGGGAGCTTCTGGTAGGAGATCAGCTCCAGGGAGAGTGAGAAGGACACATTCACCTGCCCAGAGCAGAAATTGCCCACTATGCATCATCTCAGGCTGCAGAGGGCAGGAGGGCCGCTTCCAGGCCCTGGAGCTGTGTCCTACTTCCCTCCTGCCCAGCCCTGCCCAGCACAGCCTGCAGGGTCTAGACTGGCCCAGCAGCGCCCTTGCTTGGTGCACTCATCCCACATGCACTACCCTCCACCTGGTCTGTACCAGGCACCCTGATCCTGTAGGGGACTAGTGCTGCCTGCCTTCAGGAGCCAGTGGCTACAGGGGAAGAGATGACAAGCAAATGGCCCTTTTCCACCAAGCACAATCAAAGCTGAGGTTGGGCCCTATGATGCCAAGGAAGGACTTTGACCTTATCCTGAGGACAGGGAAGGGCCTACCACGGCTTTGAAGTAAGGGCATCAGAAAGTGAGCTTTGTGTTCCAGTGGGAACATGGGCGACAGGAGCTCAAATGGGTTAAAGACAGCAGTCAGGAGGCCAAGACCAGAACTTAGGCTGAACAAGATGGGGCTGGGGCTCCCAACACAGTTTGCTGCAGCTAGCTCATCAGAATCAACTGAGGCTTTTGTTAAAAATTGGGTTCCTGGGCTGTAGCCCAGACCTTCTCATCCCTAGAACTGGGGACTGGGAGCTTACATTTGCAACAACTTTTCTAAAGGCCACTGATACATTGCCAGGCTTGGAAACCATTGTTTTAGAGCAAGATCTGCATTTAGAGGTGAGAAGTGAGAAGTACTAGAGAGTTCACAGGAGCACCCACAGGACATGGTGCTGCTCAGCGAGAGAGCAGTCCAGGGTGAGGAGGCCAGAGCTGCAGCTTGGGCAGTGGGGTGTGGGGGTGGTGTTTGCTGAGATAAAATGCCTCTATAAGGAGAAGACACAGATGTGGGGCAGGACAGGATCTCAAGGGCGATGGAGAATTCAGTTCTGCAGGCTGAGTTTGGGTGAAGAACTGAGGAAAGAATTTTCATCAGATGCCAGCTGCTAGGCTTTGCTGCACACACGGTGAGATACATCACTATCATGTGATGAGCTTGTTCTAGGAAGCTTTTGGCCTCCCAGCTGCCCAGGGATTTTTATTTTAGTTTTTATGTTTCTTTTTTGAGTGAGGTACTGGAGATCGATCCAGGGCCTCATGCATGCTAGGCAAGTACTCTACTACTGAGCCACATGCCCAGCCCAGGATATCTGAACATCCTGATTGCTAACCCCAGGGTATCCTGGAGGACCTCAGATGGGAGACACTGCAGGCTGTGCTCTGAACCTTCCCCTCCGTTTAGCCCTCTGAAGACAGGAGCCAAGGCAGTGTGGTCAAGGGGGCTCTCACTGTCTGCTGCAGATCTGTGCCTGTCTCCCCCACCTCCACAAGGACACCCTCGCTAGTTTGGTAGCGGGCACTCACCACACAGAGAGCGAAGAACACATTTGAAAGAGAGAATGTGGCTGCACTGAGACTCTAGAAGTGGATGAGATGACCCAGGAACTGAGGTGACAGCCCAGCTGGAGCTCTAGGGAGCACCAGCAGAGAGGGAAGCCCTCCAAGGAGAGGAGAAAGGGCCTTGGAGGCAGGAGGAGAGGTAGGCTCAGGCCCACAGACTGGCTGGTGTTCTTGGCAATTGGTACCCCTGGGAGCCACTGTGCAGAGAGGGATGTGCACACACCAAACCCCACAGGGCCTCTGAGTCTCATCTCCATTCCAGAAGTTCATGGCTTCCACTGGCACCTTGGCATCCCCAGAACCCACCCTCCCCTCCATCTCTGAAAATCCAAGCTCCTGCTGTCACTGATGCCTGTCAGAAGATGGGGGAATCACCCTGGGACCTAGAGGCCTCACATTTATGGTAACCCAACCAGGGGCTGCCCTGATCTAGGCGCAAACCCTTCAGTGAGGGCACATGGGAAAAGAGGGAGTCTGGGCACAAAGTGGAGGGGCTCACGGTAGCCTCTGCCTGGCTATCAGTAGAACAGGGAGGAGGCTGGCTGTGCTCCTGCAACACATGTGGTTGTGAATACTAGGTCCGGTCCACCCACATACATGTGACCCACTGCAGAGGGTCTGTGTGTACTGGCAGTGTGTCTGGTGGAGGGGACCCGGAGTAGGTCCGTTCATACCAGCTGCATACATGTGTGAGTGTGTGCATAGCAGCAAGGGCACGGACCCCGCCACTGACCAGCATGTTCTCCTGTGGGCGCAGTACCAGCTGCCTGCTCCCTGAGGCTGTCTCCTCTTCACCCTCCTGCGCCCGGCCAGAGCCAACTCTGTGGTCCTGGCTAACTGCATCTTGAGAAACCAAGAAGGGCCTGGAGACCAAGAGCTGGAAGTACTGTGGGATTTCCGTGGTGTTGGTCAGCTTCAGGTGGCGGGTGGTCAGCTGTTCACTTAGTACCTGGACAGCCACAGAGATAAGGAGGTAGGGATGCCTCCACCTCTCTCCATCAGGGCGTGGGGGATACTGGGACTGCAAGGCCTGTGACCCTGCAGGGCACACATGAAGTCCAGGTAAACCGGCAGGGCCAGGGGTGGCGGCACACTCACCCCAGAGCAGGGCTGGTCAGGGATGAGGTCACTGGCCCGGCACCGGAACTCCATGCGGCCGCTGTCATCCAGCTCCACACTCAGCCTACCCAGCAACATATGCCACTAGGGCCACCAGGCACCCAGGGCCTCCTGGCCACCCTTTCTCTTCACCTGGCCTCTGCCCCATCTTTCCCTGGCTCCCCTGCTGGCTCTTCCTCCCTCTTGTTCCTGTCCTTAGGCTCTGTGAACTCTCATCTGACTCCTCTGGGGACAGAGGAGGATGGGGCAGCCCAGCCAACTCACTGTGCATGCCTCACAAAACCATGCAGGTTCAGTCGCAGGGGTCCCACAGCAAAGTCCTGCAGCCGATGTCTCCTCCCTGGAATATCTCTCTCCTCCTACCAAAGCAAATCCATCATGGATCGCTGCTGCTCCACGGGCTGGGTAGGCAGTGTGCCGCTCAGAGAGAAGCGGTGGCCATGCCCACCCCAGGCCAGGAGGATTCACCTTGTTGTCCAAGCTCATGTAGCCCAGGATGTAGCCAGTGCACGCCACCTTGTGCAGGGTGTCAGGGCTGAGCACAATGGGTGTGAAGGAGATGGAGATGGTGCTGCTGCCCCCAGCAGGGACCACCTGGCACAGACACCACACCACAGCCTCAGCACTGCCCCGTGCCCAGGGCGGGCCAGTGCAAACTCCATGAGGCCGCTTCCACCCCTGCCTGACTCACCATCTGCTTGGGGGTGACACCGAACAGGTGGTGGGCAGGCACCCCCTCATGCTCCTGCAGGATGACTGAGATGATGTGCTCTGTGGCCTCATCACTGGCACTGAAGTGGCCTTCAACCTGTTGCCAAGGAGTCACTGAGGCCCCAGGTCAGTGGCCCTGGGTGGCCAGCTTGTGCAGCCCAGGACCCTTGCTCACCAAAGGGGCCGCTGCATGGCTGGCCTCTGACACACTGGAGGGGGACAGGGGCCCGAGTAAGCTGCTGCTCTTGGTCATCTCGGAGCACATGAGGTCATTCCCGGCTTGGTTCCTCAGTGGGAAAGGTGGCCCATAAAACACCAGCAGCTCCACCAGCTTGTCCTCCCTGTCTTCTGGCATGTACGTCTCCCAATCCAGGCGGATGTCTGGGGTAGTGAGGGAGGAACAGGAAAGAGGGACGGGTCTGCCCTGGTCCCCGTCAACCTATTTTCCCCTACTCAACATGAAGGGGAGATTCACTGTCTAATGCCATCCCCGGGCAATTCTCATGTTTTTAAAAAAAAGTCTTTGTAGGCCTATGCTACCCGGCTTAATCATCTGGAGCCCTCATGCTCACAAGACCAGGTAGCTGTGCACGCACACGAACCTCCACTCAGGCCCTCCACCCACCTCACAGCATCTTCTCTCTCTGGCTAGTTTGCTGACAGCTGATCCCCCCAACCCCACACCCTTTACCTTCTCCCTCTCCATTCATTAGCCCCTGTCTGCTTTTACTTCCTTCCCCAGCCAGGCTAGTCTTTGAGGGTCCATCACCCCAACCTCCTATGTCCCTTTGGCTCCCATTTTTCCATCCACCTGCAAAGCCTAACCCTGGATGATCTGAACAGCATCATCTCTCTGGGTACCACTGGAGAAAGTCCTCCAAACTGAACAGATGGCCACCCCCTGCATCTGTCCCTAACCTAAACTGGGCCTCACATTGCCCTCTCTCTCCACCATGACAACATCAAGCCATCTCGGATCTCTAATACCTCCATCTGCTTCCCTGATGCCTAGCAGTGACCCCACCCCATTTCTCAGAAGTGTCCTGAAGTCTTGACCCAAACCTACACATCTGTCTGCAGCTGCCCTGTCTGCCCCTCCTGCCTCGAATGTGGCACATGCCCTGCTTCTCTGGGTCCTATGATGTCCAATATCCCCTCTTTCCTATTGTGCCAGCTTGAACCCTGCCTAGCTGCTTCCCCCATCACGTACAAGCTTCCTTGTGCCAGCTCACCTCCTCAGTGCTCCTCTCTGCACTTCACAGCAAGCTCCCAGGACCAACTCGTCAAAGTTCCTTCCCTCTTGTGCTCATCTCTCACCCACTCCCCAGCCAACACTTGACCACTTGATCTTACAAACACCAGGGGCTGGGCTTTGCCCTGGGCAATACCTGCTGGGCAAAACATCCAAGACTCCTGATCCTGTGTTCCTTACGCTGATTACCTAGCGCCAATGACCACTGCACCCTGAAGTCCAACGGACAATCTCACTTCCAATAAAGAGAAAGAAATGTGCGTGTGATTCTGAGCCCAGGGAACAGAAGGGAACTACTAGAGGGAAGGGAGGCAAAGAGGAAGTCCAAAATAAACAGAGGGAAAACAGAATAAAATCACAGAAAAAAATAAAGTACAAAAAAATTGTAAAGTAAATTTCAAAAAGATGGAACAAAATATAGATTGACCACTTTTCCCACACAGAGAATGTCAGGTTGTATTTTATAAAAACAGAGCTGTCTGTTTTTAATCCAAAACACACATCAAAGTCATAAAGGGTGAAAATAGAGGGATGGGCAAGGAGATATCAGGTGCACACCAGTAAGACACCAAGGGGAGCAAAGTCAACCTAAGACAATGTGGATTTAACACCAGCAGCACTAAAGGGACCCAAACGGAATGACATGAGATGACAGAAGACTCAATTTGTGAAAAAAGATCCAATGTTCAAATGTAGTTCTCACAACAATCTAGCTAAAAACATAAAGCAAAACTACTAGAGATGCAAGGAGAAACTGATTTTTTTAAAGCATAATTTGAGGGTAGACTGCCACACACTTTCAAAACTGCACAGATCTAGTAGCCGAAAACGAGCCATCATAAAGTAGTGGTTATTTGCCATGGCTGCACCTTCCTTAGACTCATCCGAGGAACTGTAAAATGTCAGTGCCAGGCCCTGTTGCTCAACAGTGAGTCAGCCCAGGGGAGCCCCAGCTTCAAAATGCCTTACACCCTCCTCAAGGAACTCCGCTGGGGCCTGGCTGACTGTGCCGCTCCCCTCGAGCCTCTGAACTGCCTGAAGCTCTTCCTGCGGCCAAGAACCATGCCTGCAGCCCATGCCGGTTTACCTTTCCTCCCAGACTCTGCCTCAGTGCACCCTGCCAGGTGAGCGATGCCTCCCCCAGCACACTGGCTTCCCACACACTCAAACTCAATGCACCACAGGCGGGACAGAAGCCCTAGGCAGAGACCCCACTGTCCTGCTCCCGCTGTGCCCCCAGCCCCTGCACAGCACACCTAGTACCACCCAGTATTGGCTGAGTACTAAGAAAAGGAGTTCCCTCAAATACTGTCCCTAGGCACAGTGTCCTTGATGACAGCGAGAGATACTGGGAGACCCAAGGCGGGACAAGGGTGAGTGTGTATTTAAGGATTCTCTGACAATCTGGATCGGCACGGTCACCTACCAACCTTGGACCTCAGAGGACCTCCTTAGTAGCCACAGGCCACCTGGACTCCTGCCCCAGCCATCAGCTCCCTCCAGCACCATCTTCCCTCCCCACCAGGCTCATCACCCCACTTTATCTTGTGAGCATCTCACCACAGGGGCTGGAGTTATACAGGCGAAGAGTCCGGCTGATTGTGTCTCCTCCAGAGATGTGGGTCCCCAACCTGAGGCAGGAGACCAGATTCAGCATGCATCTACAGGCATGGACACTTCAGAGAAGAGCACTGGGCAGGGGCTTGGGCTGGAGGGGACACCGAAGCGGTCTGTCCGCACCCAAGCAACACAGAGCTGCATGCCCAGAGAACTTCTCCATGTAGTATCTGGTAGACAGTGACCTGGGGCTTCTCATTGCTATGGCAATCCACCCCTTGCTTCCCAAACTGTGCCAATTGGACTACTCCCAGTTCATCTGCACCACACCCTAAGCCCTCAGAGACACTCAGATGGCAGCCATGTCCCAGGACCTTCTTGTAGACGGCAGAAGGTGGCCCTGAGCAACAAGGTGGCATGCACAGCCCAGACCAGAGGCCAGAGGGTTTCAGGAGCCATCAGAGAGAGGATGAGGTAGAGGGTGGGTACCTGATGATAGGCTCCTTCTGAAAGCAGTCAGCGGTGTAGTAGGTAGTCCTTAGGGAGCTGATGGGGCAGCCCACTGCTGCCATGTGCACGGGGATGACCGTTGGTGGCAGGTTCCCCACCTGCAGACACACCAGCCCTCTGTCACCTTCACCAGCTGCCACTGCATTTCCTCCAGGCAAGGCCTCCACTTGTCCAACCAACCCACTGGTCCCGGCTGGGCCAGCCTCACTCTCCACTGTCAGATTCCCATTCCAGACATCCAGCCCAGGTCACCTCACCGCCGGCCTTGGCTTCCCTGTCCTTGGCCATCTCTGCTCTCCCGCCCAATGTGCTGCCTACACGGATCTCCCAGTCTGAGGGTCTCTGGACCTTCCTAACCTCTCTGATAAAATTTCCTTATCTTTTAAATGAAAATAATTTTATAATTTTCTCTAGTCATTACAATAATTGCATATTTTTAGAAAAAAATTAAGAATGTGATCATTACTTATCATTACACCTTGTTTCCGTTTCAGACATAGGTATAAACGTTAAGCAGACCAAGACAATCTTTTCTTTAAAAGCCTTCTCTCCTCTCTTAACAATTTAGATAAGTTTACTTCAGTGGTTTACAGCCTTTATGGGATGGGCTTTCCAGAATTCCACTGCGGAGCTATAGTCCAATGGTGTGATCCACTCTTCTACTGATGGTCACAGTCATTAAGCTGCCTGCCCACTATGCACAATTCTAAGAAGAAAAGGCAACCTAGTATGAAGCCATGTGTACACTAAGCTCCTTTTCCCTTTGGGAACACTTGAAATGCCTAGCACACTCTCAAAGTGCTTCCAAGGACTGGTGGGTGCTTAGCACCTCTTCACCCACTGGGCTCTGAAGCAATTTACTTTGCATTTCTTTAATTACTAGTGATGGTGACATATTTTCATGTTTACTGGACATCTGGATTTTTCTTTTCTTTTTTTTTTTTTTTTTTTTTGGTTTTGGTTGTTGGGTTTTGGTTTTTTTGAGACAGTATCTCACTTCGTAGTTCAGGCTGGCCTTAAACTCACTGTGTAGCCCAGGCTGGCCTCAAGCTCACAACAATCCTGCTGCCTCAGCCTCCCAAATGCTGGGGTTACAAGCATGTGCCACCACACCTGGCTGGACTTATCTTTCTTTGAACTGCCTATTCAAACCTTTGCCCACTGGAATGCCTAATTTCCCTCTTACTATTATTTAAACATAGTAATTCTTTGTGGACTAACATAACCACTTGTAGCACATCATACAATTTAAAACAAATATCTACTATAATTAACTAAATAGTTTGTGAAAATCTTCTATGCAACAACTAAACAGTGTAGGATAATATATGCACACTTCGTCTCTCCATAGTAAACTTAGAACTCCTTGCTGGCACCATCTTCTATCTTAGTCATCCTTCTGTCTCCCTCAGTACCTGCTTGGAATCCCGAACACAGGTGCCTAATGTTTGCTGAGTAAAGGAATAAATGAATGGACCCCTGGGTAAGTAACTGAATGTATAGAAGGCTAGGCAAAGGCATGGCATGGAGAGGATGTTATTACCCCTCCATTCCTTACTCCCTTCTTCAGACTCGGTTCCTGACCTAGCCAGGCAGCCCACTGATTCCTGTGTCCTTGCTGGGATCCCAGCCTTGAATCTCAAGGGAAAAGGTATAGAAAACGCTACTGTTCATAGGGATCTGTCTTGCCTAAACCATGTCAGCCTCAATCCCAGAGGTTGCAGCAGTTATGAATGTCCATCCCAAGATCAGTGGCCATCACCTTGCAACTTGGTGAGTTTTAAATGGCTTAGGGTTGGGTGCTGGAAAAGAGGAAATCTAAAGGAGCATGCCCACCTGGGTGCCCTTACCATACAAATGAGGCTGTCCCAGTATTCACCCCACATGTTGGCACAACCTGTGATTTCAATGCTCAGCTTCTGGTAGGCCCTCAGCATGCCCTGGGAAATACGGGGGAAGAAAGCTGCTCCTTTCCCATGAGATAACATGTTCTCCATAAAATCTGAGGAAGAATCAGGAATAGAGATTCAGGGCCCTGGAGTTCAGAGTAAGTTCCAAACCCACAAGTATGAGCAAAGCACTATCCCATACAAGCCACCCTACAGCCTCTCCTTTGTCAGGAAAGGGTCAGGTGTTAGCTGATCCATGCCCTGTGTGGCCAACCTGTCTTACCTCTTGCAAGATTCGGCCCCAGTGGGAGCCCTCCCTTATGATCCACCACCAAACCAAATCAAATCCAGGTCCTGTACCTGAAACTATTCTAGGAGGAAAATGGCCTCATTCAAGTGAGCATCATAGGAGCTGTTATAGGAGCATCATGGTCATTGTTACAGTTTGGATTAAAATGTCCATCAAAGGCTCATGTGTTCAGAGGTGGCTCTTTGGAAAGGTGATTAGATCATAGGGGCACTAATCTCATCAGTGGGTTAATCCATTGAAGAGCTAATAGCTATACATGCTGTTAGAAGTTAGGGCCTGGTTAGGAGAGGTAAGTCACCAGGGTGTAACCTAGAAGGGTATATTCTTATGCCTGGACAGCTTCCTCTCTCTGGATCTCTTGTTCTCACTCTACTTCCTGGTTACCATGATGTGGCAGCTTTCCTCTGCCCTGCCTTTACACCATGATATTTCTGCCTTGAACCCAGCTGACCATGGACTGAAAAACAAAACAATTTTTTTTCCTTTTTTTTAAATTGTGTGTGTCAGACATTGTGAAATGAAAGGAAAATGCTCAAAAGTAAAGAGCAACTGGGGTGAGGAAAAAGACAAAAGAAAGAAGGGGAAATTATGTATATATGTATGTATATCCAGGATAGCTAACATAGCTGTACTACTGACTTCTATCACTTCACTGAAAGGAACCGTTAATGATTACTTATGTGATCTATCTTGCATGTCTCTACTTGTTTTCCTGAGAAACCACTTTGAAGATATCAATATGTAATACAACAACCATTGTTAATTTCCTATTACTTTGTAACTCTGTATTGCTTGTATTGTTCTTATGCTATTTTGTAAATGGATGTCTGTTAATATGTTTTCCTTCTTTCATTTTTAAAATAAAATAAAAATAAATTGTGTATGTCAGATATTAGTGATATCTAGTGATAAAGCCTGTTCTAGGGCCAGGGATATAGCTCAATGGCATAAGCACTTGCCTGGCAAGCCTGAAGTCATGAGTTTGATGCCAGTACCAAAACAAAAAAAACAAACAAACAAAAAAAAAAAACCAAAGCTGTTCTAGTGATAAAAAGCTGGCTAATACAGAAAACTGGTGCCAGACAAGGGGGGTTGCTGTGATGATAGCTAACCACATGGTTCAGAAACCTTCAGAAGTGGTTTGCAAGAAGAATTTGGAAACATTTGGAGATGCAAGCTGGTAAAGTCCTAGAATTTGGAGAGCAAAGCATGATGGGTGATTCTGGTGGGAAGGCAGAAGAGCACAGGATTGCAGACAGTCAAAACTGTGTTCATGAGCTTTAAAATGAGAATGAAAACTCTGCTGGGAATTGGATTAAAGGCCATGCATGCTACATTTGGGCAAAGAATTTAGCTATATTTCTCCATGTCATGGTATTTTGTAAGACACTCGATTAAAGGTGACAGACTAGTTTATCTGGTATAAGAAGTTTCAAGGCAGCCCAGCGTTCAGGGTGTGGCATGTCTACTAGTGCATGTTTTTAGTCAGACTCACAGTGAGAATCAGAAGTGAAAATCAGAGTCAAAAGATCTGAAATACTTGTTGCTTGTCCAGAAAAGATGTATATGAAGTTGGGGCCAAAGGAGTAATTGCAGAAGAGATGAGTGCCATTGAAAATACCAAATATTTTGCACTAAAACAATAGGAAAGATGCACTGAGGTCTATTATATTCCTTTAAAGGATTTTGCTTTGGGAAAAGAGCCCCAGGGCACTCTTGGCACTGGGGGCCACCAGGGAAGTGTTTCCCCAGGTTCAGCCAGCCAGGCATTCAGAAACTCGCAGTCATGGTGCAAAGGGACCTAGCTAGCGCTGAAGCTTGTGGCAGACTTTGGCACCATCTGCATATGTGGTTTTGAAGGAATGTTATAAGATCACAGGTGCATCTACCCAGTTTTCAAAAGAAGGCCTAGGAGGCCAGGCAATGTGTGACAGGGTCACAGTTCTTAAAGGAGCAACCGTAAAGCTGTGGGCGTGAGGCCAAAGCTGTGATACAACCTTCTCACTTGGTCCGTTTCTTTCTAGCCTCATTCCTTCCTTTAAAATTGGGAATGTTTACCCATGCCAATATGTCACTGTATCTTGAATATATAATTTGCTTTTTACAGGGACTTACAAGAGTTTACCTTTAGTCTCACAGATGACTTTTGATTTGAGCAAGCCTGGAATTTTGAGATCTCAATAACTCTTAGAGATGAATAGAATGCACTTTGCATAATGAGATGGATATCAGCTTTTGAGGGCCTGGGGCAGAATGTTATGCTTGGAAGAAAAATGACCCCAAAGGGCTCAATGTTTAAAGGTGGGGATTTTGGAAAATGATTGGATCACAAGAGCATCAGCCTCATTAATAGATGAATCCACTGACGAGTTCATACCTGAGTGTACCATTAGGACAGGGGGCCTGGTTTAGGAAAAAGATCGCTGGGGGCCACTGGAAGTATGCCCTCTCATGCCAGCCCTTTCCTCTCTCTCTCTCTCTGGCTCTCTTGCTCTGTCTCTGCTTCCTAGCTGTCATGAGACAAGCAACTTTCTTCCACCTGCACTTTCACCATGGTGCTTCTGCTTTAAAGCCAGCAGATCATGGACTGAAATCATAAACCAAAACAAGTCTTGCTTTAAGTTGCTTTTCTCAGGTATTTGGGTACTGGCAGAAAGCTGACTAACACAACCATTTTGGGGAAGACACAGAGAGGGGTCCTCTAGTCTCCTTCCCCACCTGGTAGCTCCTGGCCCATATCCTCGGAAGACCATACAAAACCCAGCTCTAGCTATGTTTCTTACCTAATTGCTCTCGCCTGGCCAACTGCTCTCGCACACGTGCTGTCTTTAGCAGGGCAGGAGGCAAGTCAAGCCTTAGAAATGGAGACAAAAAAAGTAGCATCAAAGTAATCAAGCCTATCCCCAGACATGAGCTATGCCCACGGTAAACAGCATCCCACACAGTGCCCACTAGAAGGTGGTTGTCCTGCCTGCTCCTTCTAGGGGGAAGGATTGGTCAAGTCTCTTTTTCACCTCCTTTTCTTGACATTATTCCCACTGTACCCATGCTTCTCAAAGCATCTCCAGCTGCAGATCACCCCCTAAGCTGCAGAGACCGTCTGCTAAAAAAATCAGCAGGGATTCCCCATGCTGGGCTCTGTGCCCTACTGACGCTGATGGAAACTCAGCCTGCACCCCTTATCTCTCGCCCAGTTCTACAACAGGCCCAGCTCCAGACTGTCTTACTGGAGATTTTCCTCAGGCATCTCTTCCTCACTCACCTCTCGCATCACCCCAGGCACATGACCCAGTGTCCCGGAACACTCCCTGCTCCTGTCTTCTCACCGCTACACTTCTGCCCACTGTGTCCTCTGTCGTAGTCACTTCTCCCTCATACACAGCCCTTCTGGTGGCCTCAGACAGCTTCAGGAGGCCATGCTGAGGAGAAGGGCCACAACCCCAGGCTCTCTCCCAGGCCTCCTCGGTATGGGAGAGGTGGGAGCAGAGCCATAACATTTCTGCACTTCCCATGTCTACCTGTGAAATCGCACATGTTCCCTTTTACCAGCCGCTGACCACCTAAGCCACCAAGTGCCCCAACAGGGTAAACCCCACCCGGCCACATCTGCCCTGGGAATAACCTCTGATAGAAACGAGACTCACAGGCTGGCCCTTTTGCTCAGGCTGTTCTGGGGGCTCCCAAAGTATTCAAACTGGAGGGTGAAAGAGCTCTGAATTGGTGAGTGATTGTTCAGGATGAGCTGGCGATTCACACAGGTCCTCAGCGGCACCATCGAGCCAAAGTCCAGGTGGAGCTCTTCCAGACGGCCTGGCTCCTGCTTTGTGCTACAAACACTGCCCCATGCCCGCGAGCACTGTGTTATCATCCTCGGACTTTCCCAGAGAGCCACCCACGGTGAGAGTGCCTAGAAACCCGGCCACATCCTCGAGTTCCCCTGCACAGCGCTGCCAACCCACAGGCCCACCCTTCTCATCTGCACGTTATGCCCCAAGAGGCCTCAAACTCTACACAAACTGTTCCTGCTTGGCAGACTAGCATGTCTACCACTTGCTGGGGAAACTCAATGAGTCCACAGCCCACAGACCTGTCCCCTGCCATCTCCTACCTGCCTGGATACCACACCTTCTAGTTGTGTAGAAAGGCCACACACAGGGCAAGGGAGAGATGAAGAAATCTGCTCCCACCGAAGTGGTGAGGGCCTGCAGCAACTCTGTGGCCTTCCCTAGCTCCAGAAATCAGCTGGAAGTGAACTGGTAACACACAGCAACCCTAGTCCTTTGCGTGGTCGCCCCTCCCCTGGGCTCACCTGCTATCGGAACCCTTTGCAGAGACGGCAATGGTCACTTGCAGTCCCTGAGGCTTCCCAGAGATGCCTAGGGCCAGTGGCTCCTTCATGCCTGACACATAACAAGGGAGGGCCAGATCGGTCAGCTCATCCTACAAGAAAGCCCATCCAAGGGTCAGACGCAGGCCAGGGCCTCTGAAGATGGGCCCAGATGGTCTTTCACAGCTGAGTGGTTGCTGTGGGAAGTTCAACATGAAGGTCTTGACTTCTCCCCAGAGTGGCCTCTGAGGAAGGCCCCTCCCGTGCCTCCAGTGAGCCAACCTTTCAACTGACACCCTACTCCCAGAGGCCTGGTTCCTTCCCCAGGCTCTATGGCTCTCTGGGGCTGCCCCAAACACGCCTGCAGGAAAGAAGATCTCTCAAAGAACCCTCTGGAGAGCTGCACATTTTCTATGATGAATAAGCTCCCACAGACACCAAACCCTTCCTGAGTAGAATCTGTTGCACATCAGGCGTGGGCCCATTTGCCTTTCATCCAAGAGCTCAGGTTCAGCTGTGGAAGGAAATTCACCAGCCCCATGTCTGCCAGTGAGGAACTGGGAGCTAAATATGTAAGAATCTTTGAGGAAGAAGTTTTTCCACCCAGAAGAGCCACGCAAGTACTGAGCATCTTCAGCCCTAGTGGCTTCCCTCCAGGCCACTCCAGGAAGCAGCTATGACTCTCCTGGGAGGACCCTGGCCACCAGTTAGGCTCCCTCAGTAGCACCAGCACAGCGCCTGCCTTGAGCAGCAGCTCTGCCCTGGAGCTTTAGGAAAATTGGAAATCTGGGTTCCCAGTGGCCACAGAGTGTTTTCTGAAGAAGACTAAAGGATCTCAAGGCACATCCAAGCCTATTCTAGTCTCTCTGCCATTTTGTTCCTAGAGAATAGGGACCCTAGTCGGAATTGAAAGATATCCCTCCTCCACCCACAAGCACCTGGAGATAGGACTTCCACAGACACACAGATGTGGCCTGTTGGCAGGATGCCTCCCCAGTCACTGGGCCACATGTTGCTTTACTTACCTGGGTATGAGCAGTGACCTCCAAGATGAGCTGGCGCTCTGCATTAGGGCCCAGTAGGCCACATCTAGGGAAAATTTTCACTCTGCAGAAGGCTGCTTGGTTTCCCAGGAGCTGGTAGAAACAGGGGTGGAGCTGTTGTCTCCTGCAGGGCTCCCAGAATGAATGAGGACCCAAACAGAGTGTTTACTGGAGGCTGGCAGACTAGGAGCCACAGCAGGACTCTCATAACTGGGAGCTCACCTCTAGGATAAACCAGAGGTCCCTTCCCTCCTCATCATCCCTAGATGGACTTCACCACCTGTTGGGGGTTGCCTGGATTCAATAAGCTGTCCTGGGAGGCCCAGAGTGATGGGAGCTGAGGGCAGCTGTTGACGATGCACACAGAGGTGGCCCCATCTTCCACAGCACTCAGTAAGTTCCACGGGGCAGTGCCACTCCTGGGCTCCAAGTAGCTGTGTGGAAGAGCTGCAGACTATTATGGCTTGGAGGTTCTAGCTGTATTCACCACAAACTCCTTCATGGGTGGGACCTGGGATTTCCTAATCATGGGGGCATGAAATGCCTGGCCAGCTGTGCTGCTCCTTTGTGGAGCTGAGCTTTTCTGGGCACTGTGGAGGAAAGAACTGGCTGTGGGACAGAAACTGAAAATTTCTCCTGAGAGCTCCAGAGGGGCCCTGTGGGCTGTGTTGCTGAGGGCTGCAGTCTACTGCCCAACAGTGCAGGTTCACTCACCTTGCCCCACTGGAACCGGGTGGGGAGGAGCGTGCTATTGATGAGCGTGATGGTTGACTTTGTGGGCACATCCAGGTAGAGACTGCTGAGCTCCACCTGGCTGCTCTGCAGGTACACATGGGGCTCCTGTATCTCAGCATACACAGCCAGGTAGCTAGAGCACAAGGAAGTAAAAGGCATACTGATCAGAAAAGAAGAAACAAAACTGTTGCTGGCATGATGACTGTGTAACCCTGAGGAACCTATATTTTAAAAAAAAAACTTTCAGAACTAATCCAGGATACAAGATCAACACATAAAAATTAACCAAATTTTTTATAACAATGAACAGGTGGAAACATTTGAAACAGCTTCCCATTTGTAATTGCTCAAAATTGAAATAAGTATAAGAGAAATTGTAGGGAGTACACTCTGCACTTATTTCAGAATGTTTACTACCCCTCTTATATAGTCAAGCTGGATTGTCAACTTGATTGCCTTGAGAGTTGATTAGTAAAGCACATTTATGGGTGTGTCCATGAGGGTCATGGAATTGTGACCCTGGAAATTATATCTTCTCTCTGGCCTCTTCTCTCTGACATTGCTCCCCTGCTCTGCCTCCCAGATGCCATGATGTGAACAGCTTTCCCCTGCCTTGACTTTCCACCATGATGCTCCCACCTTGGAGCCAGCCTATCATGGACACAAATCTCTAAACTATGAGCCTTTTCAGCCTAATCCTCAAAATATTAGCCAGAGCAACCAGGCAAGAGAAAGAATCAAAGAGATATGTATAGGAAAGGAAGAAGTCAAATTATCATTATTGCAGAAAACATTCCTCTATGTAGAAGACCCAAAAAATTCTATCAAAAGACTCCTAGAATTAACAGCCAAATTCCACAATGTCACAAAATAAAAAATCAACACATAAAAATCAATAGCATTTCTGTACACCAATAATGAACTAAGAAAAAAATTAGGAAAACAATACCATTCACACTAGCATCAAGAAAAATTAAACATTTAGAAATTAACCTAACTGAAGGTTAATTCCTAAGTTTGAAATACCTCTAAAATGAAAAGTATGGTACTCTGAAAAAGGAGGTCGATAAGGATATCAGAAAATGGAAAAATCTCCCCCATTCCTGGATAAGCAGACCCAACACAATCAAAATTGCCACACTTAGAAAACTGATATAGGTCACCAGCAGTGGACTGCTCTGCACTCTGCAGAGTACACTTCTTTTCCTACCTTTAATAAATTTAAACCTCACTACCTTTTTCATGTGTTTTGTCCAACTCTTTGTTCTGGACACCAAGAAGCTAGAAAGAATCCCTGGAAACCATAGCATTCCAATAGCCCAGTAATACAGCTGTGGCAAAGCCACCAGGAAAAATTTAGGTAATCTAGAAACCAGTGCTTGGAGACTTCCAGAAAGATGGTGGAGTGGTAAGCAGCACAGAAAAAGCCTCTCTGAGATGTGCTGTCAGGACACTGTAATATATAGCCACATGAAAGAGAAGGAGGTAGGTGTGTCCCCTGGACCCGGAAGGATCTGAAGCTAGAGTTGAAGCCATGAGGAGAGTAAAGAGAGAAACTTTAACAAAGGAAGAGAAGGTAGCAGGCAGTGCTTTCTCCCTGAGTAGGGACTCACTGTGTGGGAGGAGCAATTCAAAGCTGTGGACACAAGGTGAATGCTGGCAACCCAAGAGGCCTCACAGAGAGATGAAACATTGCAACAGAGGAGTGGACGCCGTGGAATGCACTGGCTGCTGAGTGGACTGGATTTGGCCATCGTGAAGGAGACGGTGATTGGCCATCTTGGAGGGGGCTAACTGAGCTCTGAACTCAGAACAACTGCTAACTCCATTGAGCGGCTCCCAGCTGAGTTCAAGCCTGCAAAGGTATGCTGACCGGTACAGGCTGAATGGGACTGGCTCCAGCCTCACAGCCAGAAACCTGCCTGTACTTCAAGGGAAATAAATGTTCAGGCTCACTGAGGTTATCCACTACCCCACCATAAAGCTACTGCTGGCTCGCTGGGATAAATCAACACAGATCTGGACTCTGCCTCCACATGTCATCTACCAGTGACAGCAGAGACAAACCCTGAAGTGGCGTTTTTTCCCCTCTCTCTTTTCTTATCATTGTTCTTATTATTGTTATTTTCTCTCTTGTTTGATCTTGTTTTTAGTAGTACAAATACAGTTTCTAGTTTTTTTGTGGTTGTTGTTCTTTCTGGTTTTCCTTTTATTCCTTCCTTCTCTCTTTCCCTCCTGTCTTCTGAACCAGTTTCCCAAAGTTTTTGTGATTCTCCTTTGTCCTCCAGCCTTCATTCTAATCTCTTCCTCTTCTTTTATTTCTCTATTTTCCCCCAAACCCTTTTAATTTTCTCCCCAAGGGTAAAATTGCTGTATTGATGGCTTATTTACCGCACACAATGTTTTGGTTTGTTATAGATTTTGTTATATAACCACAAATCTAGTTCATACAGTTAAAGGTGGCAAATTAATGGTTAACTCAGTTTGTCACTTTCTAGGCTGTGTTTGATATTATTGTTGTTGCTGATTATACTACTTCAGTCAAAGTGACATAATTGTTCTAACCAGCTGCTCTTCCTGGTGTATCAAGCCTGAGATTGCATAAGGGTCATAGAAAATACTGTGGGCCAGTGCCAAAGAACCAGAGGGTTGCCAAGAAGGCAGAAAATTCTCATCCTAAATAAACTGAAGAGGTAGGATCTTATAACAGACTCAAAATCCAAACATCAGCTACATACACCTAGAAGATACTTCTGAGAAGTACTCATTTTCTAAAGGTACTAAATATTAGCAATAAAACTACCCACCATAGCAGTTTATGATCATCAACCCAGGAGTTAAAAAATAGCAAGGGATCACAAGAAATCAATCCAGCAGCTGCTAGATGATGCAAAGAATAACATCAGA